TGAAGAACAAAACGACAGCAACTTGTCTGTTCCCCTCCCCCTAATTCCCCAGCACTGTTCCCATCCCCCCAGTTCCCCAATACAAAATCTTAAAAAAAAAAAAAGAATCATTCAGTGAATTCAGCCACTGTGTTCCAGTTGTCCAAAGGGCTTGAAGGTGCTGCCATCAGTCTTTGCTTCCACTTGGGGACTTGGGCCTGAACCCCATCTCCATCTCCTACAATTGGATAAAGGCGTAGAGGAAAAGCCTGGCTTGGGAATGAGAGAGGTTGCAGGCTTTGGGACTGCCTGATGAAAGGGAATACAGTAAGTCTCTGACTTATGAACATTCGAGTTGCGAACTTTCATAGATACGAACGGACCTCGCATTACAAACATTCGTAGATGTGAACACATCGCGGAAGTAGCTCACGTGTGTGAGCTCAGGTGTGGGCCAAATTCCATCTTGTCCTCCATCCCCTATTGCTGATGATCCTTCAGCTCCACCATCTCCCACCTGTCCTCCCTCCTCCAGTTAGTAACTGTCTTCTTGTCAGTTCACTCCATGCAATCCCCTATATGCCAGTTATTGTACTGTACTGTACTGTACTGTACTGTACTGTGTGCCTTAAGGCCTCTTCCATTAACATATCCCATTGTGTACCACCCCCTCTGCATTAGCCTCTAACCCTATTAGTTATGAGGGAGTGCCTCGCTGTACCACCATTTTATGATAACTAAAAGTAAAAATAGTTTATTTACAGTATTTTTGTGTGTGTGTTTAGTTTTTTTATGCTTCACATTGTATATTTGTGTCAAAGGTGTATAAGACTCACTTTGTCGGACTTACGAACGAATCCGACTTACAAAAGTTCTCCCGGAACGGAACTCGTTCGTAAGTCGGGGACTCACTGTAGTGAGATAATAATGCCAATATCGCTATTAATAAGGAGTAGTATGAGGTAATAACAAAACAATAGTAAGTAATGATTAGAGTAACAAAATAGAGAATTAATAAGAGCATGAGTGACGTACAATTGGTAACCTCAGTAGCTATAGTTACAGGAATATTAGTCATTTAAAAAAAGTCTTACCAGATACCAGACCTGTGCTAAGGGTGTTTTTGCATCGATCGTGTCTTTTAATTTTCCATGTAAATCCTCAAATGGGATGATTGGAGAAACCGAGGCGCAGAAGGGTAAAGTAATTTAACCCACAACAAGTCATATATTTATTATGTGCCAGGTACTGTTGAAAGTGCAGTACTTGGATTAACGTATTTAATCTATACAACCATCCTATGAAGTAAATATAAATCATCTGCGTTTTATAAGAAGAGGAAATCAGGCCCTGAGAGGTTGAGAAACTTGGCCCAATATGCACTGGAGCCTGGATTTGAACCCAGGCAGACCAGCTTTACGGAGCGTGACCCAGATGGCTGTAACTTTTCCCTCAGCTTGACAGCACTTTAGACAGACTTCTTTCTGCCTTTCCCTGACCTCCCTCTTACCCCGCCCTTCCAGAGTCCAGATGGCCTACCCACAGAGGTGCCAGACCTCCTTTTTCTTGGAGCATTTCACTTACTTTAGAAAACTTGTCATCCTCTGAGATGTATGTAAATTTTTTTAAAAGCCTCTTGCCAGTTTTACAGCCCAGGGAAATGGCTTTCTCAAGGACCTGGGAACCATCTCTTTGAAATATAAACCTCAAAAGAGATAGCACATTTGTGCACCTGAAACTAAAAAAAAAAAAAGATAGCACCTCTATACCCCAGTTTCTTGGAGAGTGAGAACCTATCTTCAGTGAGTGCCTTTCTCCCAGTTATAAAACTACTTTCTGTCACAAAGATACAAGAAGGTTTCCTTTTTCCTTTGGGTAAAGCCAGTTAGCAAACACAGGTAACCTACAATCTCCCTGTCACTCCAGCTCTTAAAAACCCAACTGCCCTTAGTTTCAGCTTAGTTGAGTTCAGACTGAGTTCTGGCCTCCCTATTGCAATAACCTTGAATAAAGCCTTCCTCCACCTGAAACTAATGTAATATTGAATGTCAACTGTAATTGAAAAATAAAAAAAAAATAAAAAGTATCTCTTGCTTGTTCCACATTGTCCAGGGCAGTTTTTGCTTTGACAAGCATGAACTGTTAAGCAGTGATGGGGAGCAGTGGTTTGCCACCCCAAAATATGCCTTTTTGGGATATTGGTTATTTTAAGCTACCTACCTTCCCTTTGAAGTCCAAACCACTATCCTCTTTCTCCTTAGCTCAAGATGCCATATAAGCCGCAACTCCCAGTTTGTCCTTGGGTCCCATAGTCTTATGGAACCCCCGTAGGTACATATGTAATCAAATTGGTTATTTTTTTCCTGTTAATGTGTCTCATGTTGATTTGATTATTAGAGCAGCCACAAGAACTTAGAAGGGTAGAAGGAAAATTATTTTTCCTCCCCTTCACCAGCATATTACACAGTTTCAGGCCAACAGCCCGGTAACCGTGAGCCTGTTTTTGGAACCTTGGTGGCATAGGTGTGAGGACTTCCAGGCTCCTGAGGGTGTTGAGGATGCAACTCCTCTCATCAGCTGTACTCCATGGGGGCTTTTCCTGTTCCCTGAAGGAGGTTCCAAGGTGGGGAAAAGACGCTAGGATTCCCCCTCTTGTGTAATCCTGCCGGGGGCTTCTGACGTGAAGACTCCTCTCGCCTCTCCCCAGCATGTCCTAATGCCCCATGTCCTGCTGAGGCCTGTGGTGGGTGATGATGCCACAGTCTCAGAGCGGAATCGGGTGTTGAAGGACAATTTTTTTTTTTAAAGATTTTTTTATTTTTATTGGGTAATTGGGGGGATGGGAACAGTACTGGGGAATTAGGGGAAGGGGAACAGACAAGTTGCTGTTTTTTTCTTCAATCTAGTTGTGGAGGACACTGCTTCACTGGCCCAAGTTGGCACCATCATTGCGCTCTTCCCTGGCGAGGCAGATCAGTCGCCGGCTTCTGGACGGCCGCTCACTGCG